GATTCAACCAATCAATTAAAAGTTTAAGTCTAACCGTCAGCGGCAGTGGGCGATGCTGCTGTCACCCGCTGTCTGGCAACAATTATGCCAATGATGAATTCAAAGCTGGAACCAGAAGACCAGACACAGTCCGGCATTTCCCACGCAAGTCGATTCACTTTGAGTCACTTTACTTTTGGAAGTTAATTGAACGTGTATATGCCTTTTTATTTTATTTCATTAATTAGATTATTTATAGGCCTATTTTATTTGAGTAGCCCACACACGCTCCATCTATTTTTATCTCCTCTTCTCCTCTATCTCTCTCTCTCACTCTTTCTCTCACTCTCTCTCTCTCACTTTCTCTCTCTTACCCTTATTTTGCTAAATGGTAACAAATATCTGATTAATTGCGGGCGATTCAATTTCGGTTTAAAATTAAAACAGTTTTACTTTTTCAATTCTAACTGGTCAGTGAAATGGTTTTAAGAAAGTCCAAAACAATTCAGGTAGACGGTGAACATGTTGGGACAGGAATGAATGACCATGCACAGACGCAAGGCCATTTTCACCATCACAATATCATCAGATAGAATTTAAAAACAAGGATCAATGCAAAAAAAAAAAGGTGTGTGGTGTGACAATATTTTGTTCTGCTTATTAGCCTTTTTATTTATTGACAAACAGTTGCAGAGACTGATTAAAATGTTCCTTCCATAATTGAATTAATTGTGCAGAATTGTTTTAATAGAATAGGCAGCTGATCTTTACATTTAACATTTAAAAAATCATTATAATTATATTATTTTATATTAATTATTGACATACAAACGTTTTTGTTTATTAAACTATTTTTTTCCTTTATCACATTGAAGGGTCAAAAAGATAAATAGAAAAATGTATTTAAAGAAATTTAAACAGACCAGGCTAATTTAAAATATGACAGTTCTCAGCAGAGACTCTCACAAGCAAACAGCACTTGAACATGAGCTTTTAAACTACAGTTTAATATTTACAGACAAAAATGGAGACTATACACAATCAATACAAAAATGTTGACTAAAGTTTTCACATTTTTAACTTGAGAAATCTTAAATAAATAAATAAAATCTTAATTGGTATTGAAATTTAAATAGCAAAAGAGATATATATGCCCATTATTTGTTGCTTCACATTGGCTATAGAAATTGGACAAGTCCTCGATACAAATAAATATAAATTATGACATGATATGAACTACTCACCAAAGCTGTTAATCCTCATCAGTTTTATGTGACTATGGTTAAAAATTATTTTAAAGGAAAAAATTTAAACTATACAAATCCATAACCAATAAATCAGTCAATCCATTTTTCAGGTGCATTGTCCATATCATAAAAATAATTCACATTACATGAATAACATAAGTAAATTACATGATCAGGAATAAATCAGTCAACAGTGTGTCTTTTTAAACCATCTGAGCTGGTGTGTAAACATCAGATCTGTTTGTTCCAAAGACTTCACACATGAGTGATGCTGATCATGTAACACCGGTGAACTCTCTGGGCCCTCAGAGGCTGCCAGCCCAGGCACAACACACACACATCAACAGCAACATGGCTGCACTTGAGGAATGAGACGCCGGCCGTGGAGATATTAGTGTTCCTGTGTGATGGCGCCTGCAGGAGAGATTAGGCCGTTCATCCTTTGCACTCCTCCGGCTCCTCCTCTTCCCCCTTCTCTTTCCTGAGGCAGAAAACAGCCATAGAAAAACGTCAGTCCTATTGTTTGCACTTTGTGGATGCACAAGGATTGGAAAACAGCTGCTTTATATAGTGGTAGGTGTTTCAGGGACCGACACATGGTTAGTGTCGGTGTAAAAACGTACATAATAAATCCATTGACATCATTGAAAAAGTGATCCGTCTTGAAAAAGGCAGATATGTTTTTTTTTGTTTTTTTTTTTTGTTTTTTTTTTGAGACATTTTCCTGTTTCCCACCGGTTCTCCACTTCTCCGTTCCGTGCTGCATTTCTGGTGACATAATTGTGTCAAAACCACACTTCAGATTCACACCCGTCATAGTGTGCTGCAGAAATGGGACATGTGGGTCTTTATTTGTGTCTATTATGTGGTGAGCTGAGCCTATGATAATAAAGCCTGGCATCCTGTCGGGGTCGTGGACTGTCAGTCTGAGTCTGGGCCTCAGCTCGGCCACAGCAACAGAGGGTTACTTGTAAAACATGACGTGCCAGTAGGGAAGATCACAGCCGAGGCAGTTGCCTGGGAATGTGCTCTTGGTTTGTACACAAAGAATGCTGTCACTCTGCATCAGAGTTACGTGATGGACAAACCTGACTTGTGTGTGTATGTGTGTGCGTGTGTGAGAGAGCGAGAGAAAGACAAAACACACCTATGTCAAACACACCTCTGCAGATCTTTGCCCATGCGCACTGTGCAGCAGAGTAGACGCCAGTAAGTCTGGGCGGCATTCAGAAGTGTGACTGTTTTTAACATCATCCCTTTCCGTATATTAAGAGAGCCATGGCGAGGTCCCATCCCTGCCCTATGACTGCAGGGCTCGCCTTTGTTCTTCACCCATAATACAGACATAATTACAAGCCTTAAAGAGCCTCCTCACCGTGCTTTCTCTCTCCCTCTGTGGCTCATACACCTCTTGTGCCCACACCTTATCTCTGACAGATACTCCCATCCAGGACTCAATCCTCTGCATTCAGCTGCTGAAGTGCCTGTTCATATATGCCCATAGGCCTCTTTGTCTTCAAAGCCTTTGCATTTCGTGTTTATCTTCATTTGGCCGCTCTAATCCCATTCATCACGTCAAAGAGTGCGACTACTATGACACGAAGGTTGTTTTCCTGCTGATAACATGGAGTCTAAATGCAACACCTGCTCCTCCAGCAACAAAAATCTCTCAAGTCACTCACTTGCTGCCATCGGCAAATATTGCCACCATAATCCCACCACCATAATGTTGCAGTAAATTCCTAATAGCCATAGCCACATTCTGCAGTGATATAATTTCCCTGTGAGGATTTACAGCTAGAGGCCTGATGTGTGAAGTCAGAAACATGTTGCCCATAATATGAAACTGGTTTTTCAGCAGCCATTTTTTTTTTTTTTTTTTTATTGTGACTGAAATTTTACTATGATAATAATTTGTGGCTTTGTTCTGGCTGGCTGCTTGGCTGAGGCCTGTGAGGATTCGGGAAGCGGTCCAGCCCCCAGCAGTCCTCCAGTGCTGCTGGATTCCCAGTAGTCGCAGGCAGGGTAGGACATGACCAAAATGACGGGGTTGGACAGCAGCTTAGCACCACGCTCAAACCCACCAAACACTCTGCTTATAATTTCGCTGCAGCTTCCATGTGATTTAGCTGAGATGGAAGGTGAAGTCTGTACCAAACTGTGCAATAGCCTCAGTAGCAGGATACGCACATTTCCTCCTTTCACTGTGTTTTTCCCCCACCTGTAGATGGACTCTCTGCTTGAGGGTGAGTCAATAAGGGCTGAAATATAGAGACAGGGTTGCTCTTTGAGTCTGTGGTCACAGTCTTCTCTCCACTCCCACGCTGTATCCACATGCACCTTGTTGAGTTTTGCTGATTCTGCAGTCTGCTCCGCAATCCCACCCTCTTTTGGCAAGTTTGTGTTTCCCTTATTTTATAAACCCTGACATTTAGTCAGAAATAATATGAGTGACATTTGGGCTGAGTATTTTTGTTTCATATGAAACTGAAATCAAACAGAGAGTTATTCTTTTGTCTCCTTTTGGTCACCAGATCATGAAAATATTTATGTTCATTCATTTTTAGAGCAATCATACAAATTACATAAACACACTGAACTTGTATTAAAGCATTTATCCAACTACTTTTTTTTTAAATTGTGTTATTCAATATCTACATATTCTGTTGCATTGGTGCCTACTTTTTAATTATGGTTACTGCACATCAGTTTACCCCTATAATTTGGATAATTTATATGTTGAAACTAGAAATGAGTGTTGACTGAGCAGTAAAATTTGTTGTCATCCTTCACAAAACAAGCCTGAGTCATCCTGGTTGCTGCGGGGTTGGTGGGTGGACAGACTGAACACACCAAACCTTCTGTTTGTACATAATAAATCATTTTTTAAACTTTCTGTTCAACTTTTTCTGCAAGAAATTTAAAGTTCAGTCAGTGGATAAAAATGTGAATTATTGCAAAAAAAAATTTTTTTAAATTAGAGGAGCAAAATTTACAATAGCATGAAATGTTTTCTTAGTGATCGCGAAGATTTTGGAGTTAGTTTTACAGTGCATTAAAATCTCATTAGCGCCACTTCGGGAAAAAAAAGTTTTAGTAGCCTAAACTGTTAATATACTGAAAATTAGAAATGAGCCTCCAGGCCTTCCTGTAAGCAGGAGATCTTAGCGAATTATTACACCATTAAAACTGTTATAATAACTGCAGAAATGTAAACTGTTTTGAAGAGAATTCAGCGCATGAACTTCATAAACGAATCTGTTACATTTTAGCACCAGATGAAATGAAGCTAATATGTCTAACTTGCCTTTAGACCGTATATGACCGTATATATATTCCCCATTACACTTGTCAGTTCCCTTTTAATCGTATCCATAAAAGAGCATTATGCGCATTTCCACTAATCTAATTGTCACACCTTGCCTCTTCGAACTCAACTATAATTTTGCAACTGCAATAATAATAATGAAACTTCTATTTTGAAAAGCATTACTATCATAATTATTTGGCGAAGTCTTCCATAAGTTATTACATTTGCTAAATCAGGTCCACTGGCTTTAACGCATTTGTTATCTGCTGGTGTAAATGGCGTCACAGATTTGTAAAACAGACTTGAATAAAAATCACCACCTATGAGCAAATGATATTTATTTCCATATCTATGGAAGGAGGTACCTCCTGGCTGCACAGCCGCATCCTGTATCATATGTTAATGAAGTTAATGGTGGAGCTCCAGTGACAGCCGGCTGCTGAAGACCAATCAGAGAGCTCGCAGATGGAAGTCAGTGTGTTTGAGGCTCTGCAGGCAGGAGGTGTTTGAAGAACCATGTCGGCTCCTCCAGTGATGTAAAGAAGGATCCCATTCGCTTTTATTCGATTTTCACCTCCTATACAGCTGTGAACATGCACACTGTAACCTGTCACTGCGGGGAACGCTTTTTCACCAACAATGCATTGGACTTAAGTGTGGATTTGTTCCAAGTTTTCCTCGCTGTCCGACACAACTCATGAAACCCTCTTCAGAGCGACGGGTTTATGGACTCGCGTATTAGCTAATGATGTCTATGGGTTTCATGCCTGACAGTCTGAATGCCTCAGATCCCTCCAAATCGGCCTTTCTAGAGTTTGGCCACGGACATCCGGCACACCAGCAACACTCCCCCGGACTCTCTCACATTTACCCCGTCCATGGCTTACACGCTGCTGGGCATTCCCAGCACGAAAGTCCTTTTCCTGGCAGCGCGTCGTATGGCCGCTCTTTGGGCTACGCCTACCCCGGCGCGGTGAACACTCATCCCCCGTCTGCTTACATGCCCTACCAGCACAGCAATCACTGCAGCAACAGCAGCAGTCTGGCCCACAGCAGATTAGAGCAGACAGGTATGTGAGCAAGTCAAATCGAGTCGGACTAAATTGTTGTGTTATTAATGGCTATAAAATTCTGATTTGCCATCATGCATGAGCGCAATTACGCACGGGGCGCGCAATTTCCCTGATATTTTCCTGCTGATAAAAACGGTTCACTTGAGGGTTTAGTAAGTTCGCAAACATTTTCGTCATATACTGTTTTATGTTGAAAGTTGAATAAAGTTATGAACATGTGGCAGATTCTCACTCAATCACTAATGTCCAATCAAGGCCCGTTCAGATGCTCCCTCTTTACCACTCATGTTATAAAATGAAGACAGACGGTGCCATTACTTTTATTGACCATAATTTTCTGTGGGTAAGTTCAATTATAGTCCATGTAGCCCGAGCCTACCTCAGGAACTCGTTTCTAGCCTCATTGTTAGTGCACATTAAGAAAACGGTTCCTGAAAACAGGAATCCTTTCATCTCTGTGTGCTGAGCTCTGATTTCCCTTTTTTTTTTCTTTTTGCCTTCTGTGTTGTTGCAGTGTGAAGGTATCACCATGATCCAGCGTTTTCTTGTTGTCAGTACCATGAAAACCCTTCACTAAAAACATAAAGCCTAATACAGAAAGTCGTAGGCTAATTCAATGAAACTATATTCAGGGATCTGATAATACTTTAATATGACAGTCAGGTAAAAACGCAGCAGTTAAATTATAGTTTTTGGCTTTCAGGCCCTGAAAGAGAGTTTGGTTTGGTTTTGCAGTGCAGGGCCTGTGGGTTAAAGTGTCCAGGCACTATGCTGTAAAATCCATCCATTCATCAGTGCTCTCACTGTGTTTGAAAAGGTAGATTTTGTTTGTTTAAAACACTTTGAAAGTCTGTGTTAAATGTCACATCTGTGACTTTGCTATTTGTCTTGAAGCTGAAGATGAAAAATAAAACTCTTCTCTGTTTAATCTCTTTCTGTTTTTTCTTCAAACTACAAGATCGCGAGAAGTCCACGGTGATTGAGAACAGGGATATTCGTCTAAATGGCAAGGGGAAGAAAATCCGGAAGCCTCGGACCATCTACTCCAGCCTGCAGCTGCAGGCCCTGCACCAGCGCTTCCAGCAGACCCAGTACCTGGCCTTACCGGAGCGGGCCGACCTGGCGGCCAAACTGGGGCTCACCCAGACTCAGGTGGGCCTTCCCCTCACCCTGCAGCCCTGAGCGGATACAGGGAATGTGCAGCGTGTAGAATCCAGTGTATATGCACTTTATTAGCATTAATAATAATTAATAATAATAATTGAAGTAATGTAAAAATGATTCAGCACAGCGTTGTAGCCTAAAATATCAGACATATATAATATTTATCATTTAGTGAATTTTTTCATCATCATCATTCAGTGAATTATTATTGTACAGAAGGTTTCATTAGCAAATATTTCACATTCAAATGTCCTGAATCGATTTAATATAAAGTAGCCTGAAGCAAAATATGAGAGTGATAGAGGGTGGTGTTGAACCAGAGGATACTGAAGAGGAAACCTCTCATTTGCTGTGATTATAACGGATCACAGCGCGTCTGCAGATCAAATGAAAAACCAAATAGTTGTGATTTGTAACTCAATCCTTTAATGCATGCCTTATTTACTGTACTTAATTTCGTGGCTATATTTCTTTTGTCAGGCCTGGTCCTCGAAGTGTTCCTGTGAGTGAAGAATGGTCGTATTTTTTACAAAGCTGCGAAATTAAGGGTGGTCTGCTGATTTGCAGTAGTTTATTATAAATGACCCGATCAAATTAAGAGATTTACATGAGGTTTAATCTATTTTATTTTATTTTATTTTATTTTGTCTCCTTGTCTTGCGTTTATTTATTTATTTATGTATTTATTTTTTGTATTTGTTAGATTTTATATTTTAGTGTGTGTGTTTTTTGGTTTTTATAAGTAACAGCTTGTTAATGCAAAGACCTTCTCATGCAATTTTTAATATAATTTGTCACACACACACACACACACACACACACACACACACACACACACACACACACACACACACTCACTCACACACACACACACTCACACTCGGAGCTGTACACGCGCGTTTTGTGGACATGTTTAAAATTGTAAATGTTGACATATTGAAATGAGCAGTATGGGCATAATTTCAATAACTTCACGTGCATCTGTGAGCAGGTGCACGTGTCCTTCTCAAATGGGACAAAAAGAGGTCTCCCTCTCTCTCTCTCTCTCTCTCTCTCTCTCACTCTCTCTCTCTCGTCAGGAAAATGACTCAGTTGTCTGGCTTTAGTTTACAGTTTCAAAATAAGAGATAAACAAAAGAATCCACTCTGTCATCTGAGCTGCCTCCTGCACATTTTTCTTAATCCCTCCACAGTTACCTCAACTATTATCTTCCACTTCCACGCGGCCTTTCGTGTTGCTTGTTGCTCAGATGTTTATAGAGCGATTCATCGGGCGCTTTGATGCTTTTTATGAATATTCACACCATTGTTCTCGTGTAAAAATAGACATTTTATTTTGAATCAGCAGAAATTTCAGTGACCCACCGCCGCGCTCTCAGGGCTGTTTTTATTTCACAATACTCTTAAGTCTCGGCTTGTTGCTGTCACACTCATGCATCACTGGACTCATAAAACAACAATAATAAGAGAGCTGAGTTTTAATGGATTACAAGTACCACTCAGCCATAGGGCTGCATGGATAACAATGCGCCAATAACAGGCCTGGGATCTGCAAAAGCAACACGGAAAAGATGAGAGTTATGTGGAGTTTTCTTTTTTTTATCCTTCACAATATTCATTTCAGGCCAATTTTGAAAAGTGTGCTGAGTTTAACAGGGGGAAATATGCTCATAAAAAGCCCTTCACAGTATTATTTCCTTTATATTACTGGTGATTGTTAACCACAGTGACAATTATGTGCATTTTCTCTTTTTAGGTGAAAATATGGTTTCAGAATAAGCGCTCCAAGTATAAAAAGATCATGAAGCATGGCAGCGGATCAGAGGGAGAACATCTCCACAGCACCAGCTCCATCTCCCCCTGCTCGCCCGGGTTGCCCCAGCTTTGGGAGGTTTCCATGGCGAACAAAGGAGCCTCAATGCACCCAAACAATTACATGAACAGTTTTGGTCACTGGTATCCAAACCACCATCCTCATCAGGACGCGATGCCCAGGTCTCAGATGATGTGAGTGGATTGTTGTTGTTTTTTTGGTGCCGTGCAGACCAGCGGCTCGGCCTGTGAGAAGCGCACTACACTGAACCGGCTGGTCTCCCTCAAGGCCTCTTCTCAGACCTGAACTGCCTTTTAAACGTTTGTCTCGTATTCACTGTATTTCGTGTGCGTTTGGAATTATAATTTCACTGCAAAATATTCTACCAGGCATTAAATGCTTCTTTTTTTTATTTTTAAGATTTGTTATTAAGTCGCTGCAACCTCTGGTGCTCGACCCCATCTCACTGACATGTGGATTTAATGTGTGCAGTTTACTAAGAGACTCTGGATAAAGCAACTTTTCAAAAAAAAAAATCTTGTGTGCATGGGTCTACTTTATTAGTGCTGGACTTTCAGCTCCGTGAGCCAACAAATGCTATGTGGGTTATGCACATAAATGATTACGATTATGATTAATATGTGGTGTGACAAGTTTGTGTAGGTAGCTTCTTCACGTGACACGTTTTCATTAACACATATTTTAGAGGGCGAGGGAAGCTGTGAGACAAAGGCTTTTAAAGCGGTTCTGTGATAATTCATAGCTTGGGTATCAGCTCTGAGGGCTGAGTACAGTTCAGAAAAAATGGGTCGCTCATAAATTATTATTGCTTAATATTTTAGAATATTTAGGTTAAAATGAAAACCAACTTAATCATCCTACCCTAAAGGAAAAAGTAGTGGATGGTGAAACAGAGGGATGCGGGCTGGAACCTTTACGCACAACACAACAAAAGACACTTTGCTATTTAAAAAAAAAACATTTCAAATATCTTGGCTGCATTTTTCTGCTTTATCTGAAAAAAAAACAAACAAACCAACAATCCACTTCTCTTCTATTTTTAAAGAAGAACGAGGGAACATATGAGGCAACATCCCTCCTTTTTTTCTCACCAGAGAGAAACGCATGCCGTGAGGAGAAGAGGAGAGAGCAGAGAGGGGACGTGCAAGCCAACACTTCAACGATATTTTCTTTCTTCTTTAAGTGAGCTCAAACTCGCCGTTGTCATGATAAAATGACAAATGGCAGCGCAAGCCCTCCAATAAACGGCGCCTGATTTATAGTCGTTTGCACTGATTTGCACACTCTGGCGCTAACACTGTCTAAACACAGAAAATTAGTTATTTATATCTTTGCAAACACTTCGCCGCGGTCTGGGCTGATGCTCTTGATTAAATGGAGGGCTAAGCTCTGATTAATGAAGCTGAATGGTGCGTTAAAGAATCACCCAATGGCTTCTTTTTATCTTTTTCATTCATCACCCTGCTGCCTTTACTGTCTGGCAAACATTAGGTGCAGTCCGTCTGATGTCATAGCTACACAGGGATTAGAAAAATAACTGTGCAGTCTGTGTGGAGATATTCTCCCCTTAATATTACTCTATTAAAAATATACTGCAGGATATTTCTATTACAGGTGTTGTGATGTCATCTTAAAGGGTCATGACGCCCAGTTTTCAAAGGATTGTCATGCTCCACAGGGGAAGTGTTTGCAAAGTGCATGCACAAAAACTAAATTTAATTAACTCAATTAAGACCTTTCCTCAGTGAGGTCTTGGTACAGCTGTTATTTTTTAAAGATATCCACATATGCATACTCTAATACTAATATTATTGCATTCAAATATAACATGCCATACCTGCTATTAACTACGTTCAAGCAGCTATCCACACCGTATCAGTGGTGCACTCAGTCATGCAGGCTACAGTCAGTCCTGTCTTACCTCAGTCAGAGAAGTGCAGCCTTGTTCTGGAGGTGTTCAGCCCGCAGAGGTGTTTCTCTGAAGAACAAAGCCACACCAGAGCCCCGTGCTTTCTCCCCTCCAAGCTGATTTTCCCACACAACGACAGGCATTGTGTTACATTAACGTCTCCTTCTTTATATATATATGTACACACACCCTCGTGCCCTCATCCCTCTCTCCTGATGATTATGTGCCTGGTTAAACATGCAGGCCCGAGGAAGAAGAGGCAAGCATTGGTGAACCAAGTGACGGGGCATCAGGGAAAATTATAGGCAATTTCACATCTCCAGATTAGAATAATGGCCCGTGGAGTTGGACAGACAAGAGTAGGACCTTTCAAACGGGGGCCAATTATCATGCGAGCAGATTGAAGGGAAAGTGAAAAGGCTCCTCGTGTTATAGACAAGCGAAGAGGAAAGGACGGAAGGCTGGGAGATGGGTTGAAGGGTAATGATAAAGGGCGAAGTCTGACTGTATCAATGCTGAGGATGATGTGGTTATCAGATACGATGTGTCTGATGGGTTTTAATTGTAGGATAGCAACAATGGAGAAAATAGCTTGTTATTAAATCCCAGTTGCTTTGAACGGGCCAACGGCAAAGCAGGTCTCTGGGGTGATTATTGTTATTAACTTGAGTGATCTGACATCTCGGGTAATTGTGAGCAACATCCCTGTTAGAGAGAGTGAGTGCATGATTTGGTTTCATCTGAAGGAAAGGCTTGATTTAGTTTGGGGCATGACACACACACACACACACACACACACTCTGGAGGGATTAAAAGATGGAATACAATTTGGCAGGCAGAAAGGCATGCACACACACTGAGATTAGATTCAAAACACTGGGTTTTAGCAGAGCAGGCACACCCAAAACACACAAAAAAAATGTGGGGACAAGCAGGAAATTACATCTTTTCATGTATTTTCAACTATTTTACAGTTTTTCATGCCTGTCTTTTTGCTGAAATCCATGTCTGGAGGCCAAATTTTCCATTTCTAGGTCAAGGTGAGCTCATGCCGCAGCAGCACCGAGCCCTCACCGTTGGGAAGGCTTTATCAGGATGTGATGACTGGCTGAGAAGCATCAGCACACAGCCCAGCCCGGCCTGAGGTCAGCCAGGGTTCACGGGTCCACAGCTGTCAAGGATGCCTTTCCCCCTTCATTTCATCCCAGTTTACAGCAAAATGGACACAGTGAGTGATCTTAATGCAGCCGAGGACTCGGCCCAGGCCCGGGCTAAGTGTCGGACAGCTGCTGAAGTCTTTCCATGGATGCATTTCAGTTCCCGACCTCCATCTCAACCCATATCGCTTCACCCCAGAGACAAGTGCTGACACCACACTGTTGACTGTTGCGAGGGGTGGGGGAGGTATAAGGGGCTTATAGGGGCCCTGGCACCGGCTCTATTTAGGGTGCTGTGATGCTGTGCCATGCAGAGATCACATTCAAGTTCAGCAGTTCGCCTCCACCTCCGTGGCTACTTACACTTGTTAATGTTTGAGAGATGACATATATGGACACGTCTGACAGCCCACACACACAAGTGCAGCCTGTAGCGAACACACGTTTGTCTTCGGCACAAATGTTTCCCCTGACAGCCACAGCCGAGGGCCACACATGCTGAGGGGGCCACCGAGGGGAGGTCACATGTACTCTTGATGAGATTTCATTGATATTAAAATGCAATAGTAATCATGCTGCTTTTGTCAAATCAGCACAGTGCACTGACATGATGAGTGATGCTATAGACAACTGGTGTTGAGTTCAGGGAAATAAACCAGAGGAAAGACATTAGGGAAATAGAATCAGGAGCCGTGACACTTTTTTATTTTTTTATTTATTTTATTCGTGGCAAAATGATGAAAGAACGTGTGTAAACGGGGGAAATGTGTAAAATGCTTTTTATAATAAACTGAACTTCAGAGCTGCCAAAATAAATAAATAAATTTTAAAAAAATTTTATGGTGAATTTACAAGTGAAATACATTGATTCTAGTCCAATGGTCTTCAATGTGAATTTCAAATGACTGAAGTGATAGTTCAATAAAACTTCCACATGAAAATATGTGTTAATGTTTTTAATAACCTGTCTGAAATTCTAACAAAAAACTATTTGAATTAGGCCTAAAATAAATAAAAATAACATAATAATTTGAAAATATTAGATGATAATTATTACATGTAAATAAATGACATATTGTTATAGTTTCTATTACACGGTTTAACAGCCCTAAATGTATAGGTTAAGTCAACATTTACACTGTATTTGTTTGGCCATACGTGCTCATATATAAAGTAATAGAGATAAATCAGATTAAGTCAAGTTGTGGTCATTTAAGGTGTAAAGATATTCCTCAAAAAAAATCCTCCATTATATACACTGTTGCTCATAAAGTTGGAATAATTTTGTTTTCACACACAGTCCTCTGTTTATTCCTATTTAAATGCATGAATTCATTTGAGGGTATTTCTGGGTAATTGGGACACATAATGTAATCACTGCACCTGGTCAAAAGTGATTACTGATGCATTTAAATAGGAATAAACAGAGGACTGTGTCTGAAAACAAAATTATTCCAACTTTATGAGCAACAGTGTAAATTATATTTTTCACTGTAATGTATATATTCTATTCTTTAGGGAGGTAAATAGGTTAAAAGGAAAATAGATGATGATTCTGATGTGAACGAATCTGCATCCGGAGTTGTAATGAATAAAGTCAGATTATTTGATAATTAGAAGTGATAATACTGGAGTAATAAACTATACTCCAACATATTTTCTACTTGATTTGAAAATCCACCGATGAAGCTGTAATGTTGTGGAATTACTGTAAAAACACGACGTCGCAATAAAGTCTCTATACAGTAACACCTCGAGCCCGGGCGCACACCACTCTCGTTACTGAAAGTGGGAGAGAGGGGTATAAACCCACTAATGCGCGTACATTTTCTCCCCGTGCGTCATGGCGCCTTGGTGGTCCATGTGGATAAGATCGCCATTAGCGGTTTCTCCATCATGTAATTTTTATTTTGTGCAGCATATTTAATAATGAATGAGCTGTGTGGCCAGACTGATGGTATTGTCCGCTGTCATTAGTCATTACTTCAGAAGACGCAGAGAGGGAGGTTGTTGTTTTTTTCCTGAGTGTCTCATTGTCGCTGTCATAACAGTCATTATCGGAGTAGCTGTCATGTTTACCCAGCATCTCTCCGCTAATTGATATCAGTGTGCTCTCCAGGTTTCACGTGCGCTTCTACCACGAGCATGTTTTATTACCTGGGAAGAGCTTTTGCTTGATAAGCATCGAGAGTCTTGAGTCTTTTTTTCTGTTTTGTTTTTTTTTTTCCAGAGGAACTACTTTGCCAAATGCAACAGAATAAATTCCAGCGTCTAAAGTGAAAGGCTCCAAAAACACAAAGGAGTTGTGTTTTCTTATACCTTCAACATTTGGCAGAGTTTCTATCCATCCTGCTGCGCCCGTGTGCGTGTGTGTGTGTGTGTGTGCGCGTGCGCGCGTGCGTGAGATCCCCTTCGGCA